CCGGCCGTGCCGTTGGCCCAAAACTCCTGCCCGGCCGCCCGCAGGTTGGTGCCGTGCCCCGGCGAGGCCGGCCGGGACCCCCCGGCCACGCCGTTGAGGGGGAACTGTCCGAGGGCGGGCGGACCCCCGTCCTTGAGGCCGCCGGCAGGCGTGTAGGGCGAGTAGTCCCACAGGCAGTCGTAGGAGCGGAGGGGCTGGGCCCCGGCGGGCGCGGAGCCGGGCGAGAAGGTCCCTGAAGTACCGGGGTGTGATACAGTAGAGAAGCCATTGACATTCATGCCCCCGTTCAGACCTGCGAGGGAGGGAGCAGAGGCACGGCGAGGTCAGCGCCGCGGGGTCTCTCCAGTGGGTTTGAGGACGGATCAATGACCAGGCGGGGCAGCCGCCAAAGCGCTGCTTGTGCCCCCCACCCCTCCCCGTGCCTGGAGAGAAGCAGGGAGGGACGTGGGAGGGGGGGGTGTTGTACAGTCCCCGTTTGCCAAACCGGCTCTGCCACGGCTCTGCCGGCACCGGGCCGAGCGCCGCAGGACGCCGGGGATTAGCCGAGCGCTTGGCAGGGCTGTGCCGGGTCAGCTGACCGGCCAAATCCATGCACGGCCCCGGTGCCGCCGCTTTTCTAGGCCAAGGCGGCGGCAGGGACGCACAGACCCCGGCCCTGGCCCCGCGCGCCGGAGCTGCCGCCGGCCACGGACCCTCCATCCCTCTGTGTCTGCAGCCCTGCCATCCCTGTGTCCCCTTCAGCCCCACAGCCACCCCTTTGTCCCCACGGCCATCCCGTCCCTGTGTCCCCTTCGGCCCCACAGCCACCCCATCCCCGCAGCCATCCTGTCCCTGTGTCCCCTTCAGCCCCACAGCCATCCCATCTCTGCAGCCCTGTGTCCCCTTTGTCCCCACAGCCACCCCATCCCTGCAGTCATCCCATCCCTGTGTCCCCTTCAGCCCCACAGCCACCCCATTCCTGTGTCCCCTTTGTCCCCACAGCCATCCAGTCCCTGTGTCCCCTTTGTCCCCACAGCCACCCCATCCATCCCTGTGTCCCCTTCAGCCGCACAGCCACCCCATCCCTGCAGTCCCTCCATCCCTGTGTCCCCTCTGGCCTCACAGCCACCCCTTTGTCCCCACAGCCACCCCATCCCTGTGTCCCCTCTGGCCCCAGGGCCATCCCTGTCCCCGTGGGGTCACTTACTTTTCCCTTGCTGGGGGAAGCTGAGCGGGGAGCTGTGGGTGAAGGGGGAGTCCCCTGAGGCAGGCGTGGGTTTCGGTCCTGAGGCAGCGGGTGCAGAGGAAAGGCCAGTGAAGTTAAAATGGTTGTTTGTTTCCATTTCTGCACGGGGGAGAAGATGCACTGGGGTCAGTCACTGGTGTGGACTGGGGCTGCCAGTGTGGTGACCCACCTGCCTGGGGTGACCCACCCGCCACTGACCCTCCCACAGCGGTCCCCAGCCTGGGGCTCGAGGGCTGGGGAGGGTGACGAGTGACACTGAAGCCCCCCCAGGACTGAGATGCCACCTGTGCTGCGCTCTGGCCCAGGCCCAGCTGGATGAGCTGGCACCTGCTTGAGCACAGCCTGTCACCGGCGTCCCCAGGGACGGCCATCACCAAGGTGTGACATCACCGTGTGCCACCATCCCGTGGCTGGTCCTGGCCTCCCAGCCAAGGACCATGTAGACCCCCCAAAAGCAGCTCTGTGACCCCATGAGGAGCCAGCACAACCCAACGCTCCTGGCACAGGAGTGACCCTGTGGTGACAGTGTACCTGCCATGCCCCCCAAGGTGGAGGGGACCCCACACCCCATTCCCCAGGCACAGCTCCAGGGTTTGAGGCTGGGCTGTGTTGGGAGCAAGCAGGAGCTGAAGCCCCAGAGCTGGCTTGGGCAGGAGCCAGGACCCCCAAACGCTCCCTCAAACCTGAGGCCACAAGGAGGGCCTCATGCCCCAGGACCCCCAAACCCGAGGCCACAAGGAGGGATCCTGGTGACCTTCATCCCCCAGGACCCCCAAACACTACCTCAAACCCAAGGCCACAAGGAGGGATCCCAGTGGGTCCATCCCAGGACAGGACATGGAGGAAACTGATGCCCTCCAAGCCCAGCAGATGAGGAGGGAGCCCCAGTGCTGGTGGTGACCCACAGGGACACCCCCCGGAGCTGCCACCACCGGCAACTCCTGGCTGTGCCACGCTTGCCACCGGCCAAGGCGGCACCGACCTCTCCGGAAGGGCCAAGGCCGCCGCACTCGGCACTTCAGCAGCGCCTGGCGGCACAACCCGTGTCGAAACCCGGATTTCATCACACCCTCAGCCGGTGCCCTGGCAGGGGCCGCGGGGGCCACCGAGCCTGGCCAGGGCCACCGGTGATTCATCCACCGGAGAAACCCGTATGGGCGGTGACGCAGTGGCTCCAGGACAGCTCGGGATGGACCCGCAGCCGCCTCCCCTGAGCCCTGAACCGGCCTCTGCCCTGACCCGGCTGGAAGCCCCGGGCGTGGGGAGACCGGCAGCAGCAGCAGCAGCAGCAGCAGCAGCGGCGGCAGGGCTGGATAAGGAAAAGCCTTTCCGGTCCCACCCCGTGTGTGATGTGCCGGCCAGGAAGGCGCTGCTGGCTCTGGAGGTCAGAGGAGGCGGCCGAGGGATGTGCCAGAAGCACCGGGCAGGTGGAGGCTGCGGGTCGCACACGGAGCTGGACCGGGATGGGCTGGGCACGTGCCAGCGTGGGGAAAGGGATGGGAGAAAATAAAAACCAGCAAAGTGGGAATGTCACCCTTGCTCCAGGCCCAGAGCCGCCCTTGGCATCGCTGGGAGCTCAGCCAGCGCCAGGTGCGCTCTGGACACCGGCCATCCGTGGCCATCCACGGCCACCCGAGGCCACCTGTCACCTCCCACCCGCACCGGGGCTCCTGCGGCCCCGCTCCCCCCGCCCCGAGCCACCGAGCGTGGAGCTGAAACTGGGCCACGGCGAGAAACCGGAGCCAGGCAAGGTGAGGAGGGCGAGGGGCAGGAGCCTCGCACGGTGGCACTGCGGGGACCGTGGTGATGGTGGTGACAAGGTGGGCACCGAGCCCGCGGGTGACCCCGGCTCCTGTCACACCGGGCACGGCCAGCGTGGCAGCGCCGCTCGCCCCGGTGTCAAACCCGGTGGCAGCGGCACCGCCGGGCCCTGGGATCCCCGCGGGGACACCGGGGCCAGGAGTGTCCCCGGGAGCTGAGTTTGGGGGGACAGAGCTCCAGGCTGGGGGGGAGCCGTCGGTGCCGTGGAGCCGGTGCCGTTCCCCGGGCAGAGAGCTCGGCCTCCCCGGTTCTGCGGCCTCCCCGGCCCGGTGGCACCGGGAGGCCCCGGGAGCGTGACGCGACCTGATTAAAAAGGACGTTTCAAAAACAACGAGACGGAACAACCGGCTGCCATTTCCCGGCCACTTCCTGCGGGGACGGACACACGGGGGGACACGGCACCGGTCCCCCCCCCGGCCCCGCACCCAGCGGGGACCCCCCGGTCTCTGCGGCAAGGACACCCCCACCCCGCTCTCGCAGCCCCCCCGCCGGGTCTCCGGGGATGGGGGGGCTCGGTGTCCGCGCCCCCCCGCCGCCGCAGAGGGGTCCCGGTACCGGAGGGTGCGGTGGTGGCGGGGGGGACACGGACGGGCGGTGCCGGAGGGGAGGGGGCTCCCCCCGAGCTCCGGGACGGGGCTGTGGGGGAACCGCACCGGGAGCCGGGAACGGGGCTGGGGCTCCCCGCGGGTCTGGGCCCTTGGCCGCTGCACCGGGGGGGTCACCGGGAGCCGGTAACGGAGGAGGAGGGGGGGTCACGCCACGGAACCGGGATGCGCAGGGGGAAGCGGGGGGAGAGGACGGCGTCTCACCGAGGTCAGCAAAGGGGAGCGGGGTGCCGCCGCCGCCGCCTGAGCCGGGCCCAAACCGCCGCAACCGACCCTCCCAGCCCCTGGCTCCCTTCACCCGGGCCGTTAACGGCCCGTTACCGCCCGCACCCCCCTCCTCCTCCTCCGCCGCGACCCCGCACCTGGCAGGCGGCGGGCGGCGCGGGCCCGGCTCAGGCGGCGCCCCCCCCGCACGTCACGGCGGCCGCAGTGGCGTCACCGGGAGCGGCGCCGCCGTGGCGTCACCGGGGGCGGGCGCGCGCCCACGTGGGAGGGGGATCCCCGCCCCCGGCGGGGTCAGGGCGGGGGGAATCCCCACGCGGGGACGCCCCCCCACCCCTGGCTCCGGGACCCCCGGCTCTCCCCGGCGGTGCGCTGCGGTGCCGGTGCCGGTGGCGGAGCCGGGCGGGGCGCAGGTGCTCCCGGCCCCGCGTGATGTCAGCGACCGCCGCCGCCCCCTCCGCCACCGGGGCCGCGCCGCCATTTAAAGGGACCGCCGCCCTCCGTGGGGTGGGGGGGGATGACGGGGGACACCCCCCCAACCGGGGGGCGCTCCGCGGGACCACCGGCTGCCACCCCCGCCGGGACGCCCCCGGGACCCCGCTCCTCCGTGGGGTTGAGCAGAGCCCGGCACCGGGGGGGCACCGGCGGAGCAGTGCGGGGGGGGTCGGGAGTTGGGGTGGTCCCGGTACCCTCGGGGGATGTCCCCCAGCCCCGCACGGGGCGAGGTCGGGCAGGAGCGGCCCCCCGGGACACCGTGGACAAAGTGGCAGCTGCCGGGGCCGAGCCGGGCCGGGGCGGCTCTTTGTGCTGCGAAATGGTGGAGCTGGAAGTGCGCGGGGGGGCGGGGGGAACGACTGGCACTGGGACAGACAGACGGACACGGCACCAGCATCTGTCACCCCCCGGGCTGTCCCTGCAGCAGAGGGAGGAGGGGGTTTTCCCCCCTCTCCTGGAGACCCCACAGGACAAAGGGGAGCCCCCAGGGCTGGGGGTCTCTGCAGTGGAGCAGAACCCAGCACAACCCCCCCACGGAGGGGATCCTGAGGGAGCCCCAGGGTGGGGGGGCTCAGAGGATTTGGATCCCTGCAGCCCCCCGAGAGCAGCAGCCACTGCACACAAAGCCTGCAGACGTTTTCACCGATGTTTTATTGGAAATGTTAAATACTGGGGGTCCGGCCCCAGCGGAGCCGGGGGTGCTCAGGGGGGCTCCGGGGGGGCTCAGGCGTGTTCCTCTGCCAGCTTCTCTGCCTTGGCCACCGCCTCCTCGATGGGCCCCACCATGTAGAAAGCCTGCTCAGGCAGGTGGTCATATTCACCTGTGGGGACACAACGTGTCAGGGGGGAGCGGGATGCCCAGCCGGGCTCCCCCAGACCCCCAGAGGGGACACCTCACCTGCCAGGATCTGCTTGAAGCCCTTGATGGTCTCTTTGAGTGGCACCAACTTGCCCATGTGGCCGGTGAAGACCTCGGCCACCTGGAAGGGCTGGGACAGGAAGCGCTGGATCTTGCGGGCGCGGGCCACGGTCAGTTTGTCCTCCTCGGACAACTCATCCATGCCCAGGATGGCGATGATGTCCTGCAGTGACTTGTAGTCCTGGGGAGGGGGACACAGGGGGTGAGCGGCCAGAGCTGATCCCCCACCTCAGCCACCCCACGGGGAGGGGATGCCCCAGCCCCCTCACCTGAAGGATCTTCTGCACACCCCGAGCCACGTCGTAGTGCTCGGGCCCCACGATGTTGGGGTCCATGATGCGGGACGTGGAGTCCAGGGGGTCCACGGCTGGGTAGATGCCCAGCTCGGCGATGGCACGGGACAACACCGTGGTGGCGTCCAAGTGGGCAAAGGTGGTGGCAGGTGCAGGGTCAGTCAAGTCGTCAGCTGGCACATAAATAGCCTGGGGACACAGAGAGGAGGGGACACTTGGTCTCGTGTAGGTGGCACAGCTCCCCAGGACCCTGAGGTGGGTCCTGCCCTCACCTGCACGGAGGTGATGGAGCCCTTGCGTGTGGTGGTGATACGCTCCTGCATGGTGCCCATGTCAGTGGCCAGCGTGGGCTGGTAGCCCACAGCAGAGGGGATTCTGCCCAGCAGGGCTGACACCTGTGAGGGGACAGAGCGTGAGGGACACAGCACGAGGGGCTGGGCGGGGGGGGGACAGGTGCACCGCCCTGTGCCACACAGACCTCGGAGCCAGCCTGGGTGAAGCGGAAGATGTTGTCGATGAAGAGCAGCACGTCCTGACCCTCCTGGTCCCTGAAGTACTCGGCCACCGTCAGCCCCGTCAGGGCCACCCTGGCACGGGCGCCCGGGGGCTCGTTCATCTGCCCGTAGACCAGGGCGACCTGCGGGTGGGACCCTGGGGTCAGCACGGTGTCACTGCCATGCCTGGCACTGCGTCAGGGGACTCGGAACCTCCCCAGGAGACCCTCCCTCCCTCAGGGTCTCTGCACACCTTGGAAGTGGCATCTTTGAGGTTGATGACCCCAGACTCGATCATCTCGTGGTACAAGTCGTTGCCCTCGCGGGTCCTCTCGCCCACGCCGGCGAACACAGAGTAACCACCGTGGGCCTTGGCCACGTTGTTGATCAGCTCCATGATCAGCACAGTCTTGCCCACACCAGCACCTCCAAACAAACCTGGGAGGGGGAGGAAAAAGTGTCCTGCTGAGCCCCAAGCCAGCCCGGCTGTCCCCAAGGTTTCCCTTCAGCTCTTTCCTCCTCAGATAAAAAAAAGCGTTGCTTCAGCAAGCTCAGGAGAACGAAAGTCATGGAGTGGATCATCAGTGAAGGAAAAGCTCCCCAAAGGAACTGCTGGAAACCCCAGAGGCACCATCAGGTGCCCACTCCCCAGACCTGGGGGTCACGTACCGATCTTGCCACCCTTGGCGTAGGGAGCCAGCAGATCCACGACCTTGATCCCTGTCACCAGGATCTCCTGCTCCACACTCATCTCCACGAACTCAGGGGCCTCGGCGTGGATAGCAGCAAACCTGGAGCAGGAAGAGGAGAGGGAGGGGGTGGGCAGCTGCTCAGAGCCCCCCAGCTTGGGGGCTGGCAGGGGACAGTCCCTGCTGTGACCCAGAAGAGCCAGAGCCACCTCCCTGCTCACACCCTGGTGTCCCCCAGCCCCTCACAGCACTCACTGTTTGGTCGTGATGGGACCCCTCTCGTCGATGGGTTCCCCAATGACATTCATGATCCTGCCCAGGGTCTCGGGGCCCACGGGGATGCGGATGGGAGCACCAGAGTCCAGCACCTTCTGTCCCCTCACCAGCCCTTCCGTGCCGTCCATGGCGATGGTGCGCACGGTGTTCTCCCCTGCCGAGGCCCAAGGACAGCATAGTCACCACAGCGTCCTCAGGCTGACCCTGGGGACAGCTGCTGCTGGCTTCCCCAGGCCCTGCCAAGGGGACATTCTGCTGGGAGAAGGACCAAGAGGAGCAGCAAGAATAAAATAGCCCTGAGGAAAACTGAGCCGTGCAGCCGCAGCCCTCGGGCAGCCATTTTCCACCTCCTCCTCAGATCGAAATCCGTGGCTTCAGCAAGCTCAGGAGAACGAAAGTCATTGGCAACATCATCACAGGAGGACCCCTCCCCACTTCATGCCAGCTGCTCACCCAGGTGCTGAGCCACCTCCAACACCAGCCGCGTCTCCCTGCCCTGCACCTCGAGGGCGTTCAGGATGGGGGGCAGCCCCTCGTCGAACTGCACATCCACCACGGCCCCGATGACGGCCACGATGCGGCCGGTGGAGGAGCCGGCCTTGGCGGCAGGGGCTGCCTGGGCGGCATAGTCCCGTCCTGGGGGGGAAGAGGGGCGAGTCAAGGTCGGCCGGGACGGGGCGGCTCCGGGCTCCGTGAAGGATTTTGGGGGTGCGGACATGGGGCTCCCCTGCAGGCCTTGGGGTGCGCCCGGGACCCCTGAACCTCCCTGGGTGCACCCAGGACCCCCTGAACCCCCTTCCTCAGCGCTGGCTGGATCCCCACACCCCGCTCCGTGCACCACTGACCCACCCAGACCCCTCCTCAGCGCACCCGGGACCTCCACACCCCGGCACCCCCTCAGCGCCGCCAGGACCCCCTGAGCCCCCTCCCCTCAGCGCTGCCAGGACCCCCCCGAC